CTGCCTCGGTGTAGTTCTGAGCGTCGGCCTGAAGTTCAACAAGCTGATGTACGTAGCGGATGTACATGTCTTCCTTCTGCATGTCCTTCAAGAACTCCATCAAGTGCAGTGTGTCCATGATGTGGAAAATCTCTCCAGTGGCCTCGGTGCTGTGCACAGCAACGAGCAGGTCAAGCAGCTCATCAACAGTGGAGATGAGGTTCTTCAAGGCCCCAAGCAACTCTTCTTCAGGGTTGTGGGCAAGAGGCTCAAAAAGCTCAATCAGCTCCTGAATGAAGTGTTTCTGCGAGACGGCTTCAGTTAGGTGTTTTGTCTTGAACAGGTTGTCCAAGCAATCAATCATCTCGGCCTGTATAAGAGCCAGGTCTTCACTCAACGTCCATTCGCTGATGATCATCGTTTGCAGCACTTCAATAGCTACACTGCGCAGACCTTCATGAACACTGAGACAAAGCTCCACAATGGGTGCGACCAGCCCGGGCACATATTGCACTTGGAAGCCACCCATCTTGTCAAGTCCGTACTGGGCCTTGTCTTCGGCGGTCGCCTCCCAGCCAATGGTCTCCCAACTACGTTGCAGCAAATCCGCGCCGTGTTCACGAACATCGCCAGCGATCTTCCACACAGCCCGACGCTTCTGCTCTGGGAATGTTTCCAACGCAAGCGCATCACTGCCCACAAGCTTTAGCAACGCATCGAAGAATGCGCGCCACAGTTCCGTGCTGAAGCGGTCAGCCTCATCAGGAAGAGGAAGAAAAGAGTCGGATAGGATGTTGAAGAGTTTCTCTAATGCACGCATGGTGGCCTTGTGGTGGTAGATGTGCACACTCAGCCAGGAGCTGGGAAACGCCTCGCAATCGAGAATGGAAATGTACACCTGCAACACCGAAAACAAAAATTCAGCTGTCTCCTCCTTGGGCCACTCTGGGTGTAGGAGTGAGGGTAGACTCGACATTGCTGCAAGGACAGCCGAAATCTCAGCCATAGCCTCGTCAAACGAAGCCTCAGCAGTCGTGGGCCGTGTCTGGAAAGGGTAGCTTGTAGGAAACAATAGAGAGAGCGTCTTCTTAGGTGGCCGAGGAGTGGCTTGTATGGCACGGTATGATTCGACCAGTTTTGGCATGTACTCGGGAGCTTCCTTTCCAAGTTCATCCACCTGCGATGCTACCACTGAGCAGCAGAGGCGTACTTGGTCCTTCCACTGGTCGGTGACGGTCTCTACTCTACCCCAGTATGGCGCTAGCCACTGCACCGTGCTTGCTAAGAGCATGCGGCGTACTTCAGGCGGGCGGAAGATTTGAAGATCCGACAGATGATGAATCAGAACGAGCTTGTAGAGGATAAGCTTGCCCTGTACATCGGAAGAGGATTCGATGAACCCAGCAGTCAGCTTGAAGACTTCTGTAGCAGGCATGCATCCTTCTAGCTCCGTGATCCAAGCATGAAGGTTTTGGACTAAAATGGTCTTGGTGCCGATGAGAACAGGTGATTGGTTCTTCATCAGGGATTCGAGAGATGTAAAGAGCACCTTCATTTCCTTGCTGAACTGGGCTCTGTCCTTGATGCCGATGCTCTCCTCCTTTGCCTTTTGCCTCTCTCGAGCGTTGACCAGGAACTTCATGATTAGTTTGCCAACCTTGAAAGTCGCACGTAGCCTCCGGGAACTCTCTGGGTCGGTAGGTTTGGCTAGAAGTCGACCGAGACTTTGCATCAGACATGAAGTGACGAGCGAGTGGAACACCTTAGTCCGAGCGTACTGATCCACAAGGGGCTCGAGGTTGAAGCGTCGGTCATGAACGATTCCCAGGACAATCACAACGGCGTTGAAAACTAAATCCTCGTACTCATCACTGCCAGCATAATGGCTCTGGATAGCAAAGAGGGCATCGAAGACCTCACTTAAAAGCTTGACGATTTCAATCTCTGGGACGAAGTTGAATCGGCGCAGTAACCCTACGAGTTCACCTGGTGGTTGTTCTTGCCACTTGATGAGACCTAATATTGTCGGGTCTTGAGAGTATTTTGTGCTGCAGAGAAAGGTTTTGACGTGAACGGCAGCCATTGGACCCATGACATGCTCATCCTTCTTCTTAGCGCTCCATGGTAGTCCAAGGTAGGCGCCTTTGCCAGCAATCATACCCGAGGTGTATTCATCGTATTTGTACAAGGTCAAGGCGTGGTCGCCATCGCGGGCAAAGGCGTCCTGGTTCCAGAGTGGCATCCAGCATAGGGCAAATGGGAATCCAGGCGCGTCAGCAACGCTCATGACTAGGTGTGAACCAGGCACGTCTTGAGGATCAATGGCAAGCCGGATGGTCGAGTTCCAGCCTTCGCCTCGTTGAGCTGCTGTTGTGCGCCATGCTGTGTGGCCTGCACTGTTGGTGGACGGATAGATGCAGCCTTCAATGCGTTCTCCAGAGCTCTTCCGAACCTCGATAGTGAGCTGCAAGTTGCTCATAGGAGAAGTTTGTCCCAATGGAACAGAGCCAGTCTTTGGGTGAGCCAAAAAGGCGTTTTTTGGAAGGAAAGGCTCGACCAGTGTCAGGTAGATGTCACTACGGGGTTTAGTTGGAGCACCTGAGAAGCCAATCTTCCGACACTGCTTGATGTTGTGAAGCACCGTCGGGACCTTTTGAATGAGCCGCTCAGCATCGGTCTCGACAAAGGCTTTGAGGTGTATGGTGATGCGGCTAATATGGGGATCCCGCGTATACTGCCCACTGGCACTAGGGTATATCTCAGGGAGTATACTGTCCCAGTCACCCCCATCTTCGGAAACATCTTCACCAGATGCTGCGGTACAAAACATGGCAACAGTGCGGTCTGCCTCGGAGCGTGACTGCAAGACTTGGTTTACGGGGACGACGCCAACTGCGACTGTTCTTTTTAGCGTCTTCTGATCTCGAGATAGAGCCCTTGCTCGTGTGGTTGCAGTTGCAGCCGACCCCGGACGTGGCTCGGCTGTCTGGGAGCGGCTCTGGTCGAAGCTTTGATGTCGGCGCTCTTCAGACGAGTCAGTTTGTCGTGAGTTGACTGACTCCTTCCTCTTTGATCCGCCAAACATGACGCTGCGCCTGCCGCCCTTGATGCTTCCTTGTTGGGAAGGCTGCACCCCGGATGTCTTGCTCGGAGTCGTTTCCCTACTTGAGCCGCCCTTCTCGCCGGCTGAGGACGAGCGCAGAGGCTCATTGGTGGTGAGTCGAAAGACGAGATATAGCGTGGAGCCAGACCCCGCGCCTTCGCCAATGTCCGTCAGGCTGAGATCTACGAGCAGTGCGCGCAGCTTGTCGCCAGCCAAAGACACGGCTGTCCCGTCTTTGTTAGTCAGGTCGAAAGAGTAGGCCTCTGAGAGGGGTTGTGGTGCAGTACCAGGTGTCTTGAGACACAGGTGCATGCATATTTGAGCCGCTCCAGGCACAACGTCGCCCGCCACATGCTTGAGACTGACGAACAAGTGGTGCAGATTGTGCTCATCGAGCTGTGGAGTGGGCCGGCTGTCGAGAAGGCTCATCATTGACTGCAACTTGGTAATCTCAATGGCCGAGTCGTCGCCTGTCAAGATGCGCCCGCGCTGCGAAGGGCTGCGCACAATGACATCCCCACACAGCATCTTGTTGCCGGCAACTAGATCCCAGACGGTTTCTTCCCGCACCTTTTCCAGTTCCTTTGCGGTGAGCACCTTGTGCAACAGTTGGCGGCGTGCCGTGTCCAGGGTGTTGACGAGCGTGGACATTTTGTCCAGCGAGCCATATTTGCGTGCAAGCAGGAGCTCGTGCACCTTTGTCGAATGCCATTCTCGCAGGCACGAAGCGATTTCGTCTACCAAGGGCTCCTGGGCGGATGTGGGTGTCTCGTCGCCAATCTTGAGCATGGGTACGGGCGCGGGGGGTCGTGGGGCGGTTGGGTCTGATATGGGCGACAGGGGAAGGGCCAATTGCTGCAGATGCTCTTCGCGGGCAGTCCATTGCGAGTGGGTGCTGCCTGCGCGCTTTCTGTTTGATCTGCGGCTGGAGGGTGGGCGGCCGGTGGTGGGATATGGCAGCGAGGAGACGGCATCGCTCTTTGAGCTTTGGCGGGCATGAGCGGTCGAGGCTTTTGCAAACGGAGAGGTGGTGCGAGTGCTCTCGGTGGGTGTGACGACGCCGTTGGTGTGCTGTGGATAGGTGCTGGCACGGCGGGCATCGGTTGCAGTGTCTTGGGAGGGCGTGTCTTTACTGTCGCCCAGAACCTCGCGCACCTCGACACAGACGCGTGGGAAGATGCCCGAGAAGACGCGCGCTTCGAGCGTCTGGCCCTTGACGCTCGTCAGGCCAGCCAGCAATGAGGGCGGCGCAACCAAGTAGCCGCGGTACCAGGCGCCATCTTGCCCACCCTGTTCAATTATGTACAGCTCATCGCCAATTTCGAGGGGTAGGTCGGCGGGCGACGAGGGCTGGAAGGGGTATATGCATATGGCGAACGCGATACGCGGGAGTGGTCTCCAGCTCGGCATGGCACCAGACGTGTCGGGCTATATGGGAGGGGGGAGTCGGCGACAGAGCATCACGAGCAATGGGCAGCGGGCTGGTGTCGCGGGGGCTCTGGGCGAGAGGGACCTGTTTTCTCGAGGCGGATGAGGCGGACGGGGGGGTAGCAGCAGCAGAACAGAAAGAGGGTGGTGATAATGGGGGAGGGGGGGCTTGTGGTGCGCTGCTGGGCTGCAAGATGCCCCTGATGGGATTGCCGAATTGGAAATCTGGGGATAGTACTTAGTAGACAGTAAGTAGTCTCTAATACCCAAGCAAGAGTTAGGGAGAACAAGCGGGGCGCGAGGGACGCGAGGGAAGAGGACGATCTTGTCTGCGTCGCCTGCGCGTCTCGGAGGGCGTATGGGCGACGATGAATGGGCAGGCAAAAGTTTCAGAGACAGCAAAGGACAACGGTGATGGCCTTCACAGCGCCGTTCGGTAGCAGCCGTGCCTGCATGAAGCTCGGAGCACAGTCGTCGTATCAAGGCCAGCATGGCCCCCGGTCCCAAGCGCCGGCCATGGGTGGCTTTGCAACATTATGTACGTACGTACGTACGCATGTATCTATGTATCCAAGGACCACTGTGTATAGTGTTGATGATATGGCTTGCAAGCACCCAACGCGCCCAGAGCGGGTGTGCTGCCGCAGCTCCGGCGCGGCGGCGGGGTCTTGTTTGTTTGTTTATATGTACGGACGGACATGTCTATCCAGATGCATACTTGCTCTCCCGATAGATATACCAATCCATCCATGGCCATGCTGAGCATCAGTTGGGAAAAAAAACGGGGGTGGCGCTGGCGGGTCAGGGATTGGCACTGCACAGCGCTCCCACTGGCTTGGCCTCATACTGCGCCGGGCCACCACCCATCCATCCAGCAACAGCCTGCAAGTATACCATCTACCCAACTCTCTCTCTCCCCTTTCCACACCCCCCCCTTCCCCTCCTCCTCGCAACTTGGCTTGGCCTGTCCGCGATCGCTGCACGCGACTCAAGGGCACGCTACACACGTCCACCCTGGCACACGCCTTTGCACATTCACCTTGGCCCCCGCCACACTGCATCAGCCCTCTCGTCTGCACTAGCCCTAGCAATGTGAAACGGCGTCGGAAACGGTCCCGACATCTTCCTGGCACAGGCATTTGCCGTATGCACCACATGTGGCCTTGTGGCTGATGCTGTACTTGCTCGACTGCTGCACCCTCTAGCCCATGTGCCACCCTAATTTAACCTTCTTTACGATCGACATCACCTTCGGCCGGTCGCCCTCCCTTTCTGCACCACCACGCGTGCCCTGCTGTCAGATGCCGTGACCCGCGAGTCAGGGCCCAAATGCCCTCGCCTTTTCTCCCGAGCCTATCATACATCCAGGCTAATGGCTAGTTGGGAGTTGTAATACGCCCTGCTCCGGCTGCTCTTGACAAGCCACACGTTCTAGAATCCACACCCTTTTCACACCTCATTCCAAAGTCTGCACATGTCCCTCGTACCTCATCTCTCTTATGTATAGTATCTGTACATGCAGTTTTACTCTGCTGAATTCGCAATATATGTGCATGTTGCACACGCACATACACACGCACGCATGCATCTCCCGTCTTTGAAACTTTGGCAACCTACCTCAAACATCGGAACCTTGCTCTCTTCTGCATCGTCGACGTAACCCACGTTTGTTTCAAAATAGAAATTCTACTTTTTGCTTCTCCGTCCATTCTTCTTTTCGTACCCAACGGCCGTGCATGCTCCACTTGACATGTGTGACGTAGTCACAACCACATCACGTGCATACAGTGTGTAGAGGGCACTGCTGAAGCGCCTGGATTACAAGCTGACGGCCTTGCTCTCACGAAGCCTCACCAATATTTATCATGGTTAGCTTCATTTCCATGCTCTTAGTCAGGCGCATGCATCAGCCACACAGTCAGTCATGTTATCGATACTTGAATGCTTTTTTGCTTTTCTTTTCTTTTTCCAACTCCAAGGTTTCGACGATTCATTCACTGTAGCCTTTCGTTCCTCCAACATGTTGTCATACTGCGACCAGAAATATTGGAAGGGGCTGAGATTCAACTACAGGCCTATGATGCGATCTAGACAGCAAGCCATAGTGCTTTGCATGGTCTGGAACCAAGTTTCACTCCATGACGCGTGACATGCCCTGCAGGGCTGCTAACCAAGGCCAACCACACCTCACCATCACACATGCACTAGTCGGTCCGTATCATCATGCCGACCAACATTGCCCTTGTCGATGTAGCCTCGGCCCACTTACACACCCACACATCTCCATGCCTCTCCGCATCAAAAGACCTGTTCCGCCTTGTTCTTCTTCTCCTTGTCCTCTTCTCCTCATCTTCTTGTCTTAGAATTTCGCAACTACAAAATTCTCTCCAAACGCCTACTTTCTCAAACCAACGCTCTCGCCAACAAATGTAACCACCTTCTCGGCATCAGAAATGCCACCACACAGACTCTCCACCTCAAAGAGCCAGATTAACTTCTTGCCAAAGGCGCCCCAGCGGCGCAGCAGCCTGTCACATGTGCCGCGAAGCTATAGTCTTGCCGCAGCCTTTCGGACAACCAGATCCATCACGCCTCCCAAGGTAGACCACATCCAAGAGGACGAGGAGGAAGAGAAGAAGAAGAAAAAGAAGGAGAAAGAGGGTGCAAGTGTACTGGCATACCTTTCTCTATGGAAGGGTGTGAGGTCGCTTTGGCGAGGTATTGATTGGTATGTTGGACGAATGAGCAGTGGGTGGAGAGGGATGTGAAGTTGTTTGGCAAACGGGGAAGGAGATGTGGATGAATCAAGTATACATCTGAATGTGGACATCAACACCAACGCCTGGCAATAAACATACAAACTAGCTTGGGAAGAAAGAGAGTGCCAATATCTCCCTCCGACAAACGACATGAGAAGAACAAGAAGCAATAAAGAAAGAAGATACTTTTGAATCCCTTACTCTCACACCATCACCATGTGTTACCTCAAGCACCACCACCTCCACCCCCAATAACCCCCACCCTTCTCCTCAGCGGATCCCCCACCTTCGCAACAGGCGTCTGATCCCTTATCGCCTGCGCAGGAATCCGATACATGACCAAATACTCCCCCCAATGCAACCACTCATCCGCACCATCCACCGCCCCTTTCCCCTTGTTCCGATTACCACTACTCCCACTACTATTACTACTCCCACTACTATTACTACTCCCACTACTATTACTACTCCCACTCTCTGCACCACCCTCCCCACCCTCCCTCAACAAATCCGCCGCCCGAAACACCGGACCCCTAGCAAAATGCGCAGGATCAACACTAACAACCCACGTATCCTCCTGGTATCTCTCGCCAAAATACCGTGCTACGGCTTCGGCGTGCGCAGCGTTGTCGTAGACGCTGATGAAGGGCGACGAGATGTTGGTTTGCTGGTTGAGGTGCGCGAGGCCGAAGCGCGAGAGGGCCGAGGTGTAGTTTACGATTGTGGTTTGGTTTTTCGCGCTGAAGCCGGTGGAGAAGGAGTAGCGGGTTTGCGAGGTGCTGCGGTGGACGCGGTAGACGAGGGGTGGGATGGCGGTGGGGGCGGGTGTGGTTGGTGAGGTGGAGAGCGGAGAGGAAGAGGGTGTTGTGATTGAATGAAGGGCTGGTTTGGATTGTCAGTGTTGTTGTGGTGTGGAGAGAAGGGGGGATTTTATGTACCCGCCATGATGACAATCGACTGAAGAGAGTTGGAAGGATGATTAGTTGGTGTATTCTCCTGGTGCTTTATCAAATATAAATTTCCAACCCCCGAAAGATAATAAAATAGGTCAGAACTGCAAGAAAAGATTATGATGACAAGGACTAAGAGCGTTTGCACTGCATGTCTACTCCGATTTACCAATCCTACATCTCATTATAGACCGGTCCAGAGTCACACTTATATTCTGTCTCGCTCCCTCCTCTCCACCTCACTTCTCTTTTCTTGTACAGAAGAGAAGCGGTCAAAAATGCCGTTCAAACGGAACAGGTGCATGCAACGCAGGTCAATACTTCGTTGGCAATGTTGCCTTCCATTTCCCGAACGGAGATGCACATTTGTTTCTTTCTCCAGCTCGAGTTGTTGACTTCCCGAGACTCCAACAAAGGGATGGCCATATTCGCACTATGGGAACATTCTGCAGTGCCGACCAGGCTATCGGGAGTGGCTTGAGCCCGTTGGAAAGGATGGCCCGGTGCCGCGACTAGGCTACTCATTTGGTGCTTGCCCATAGACTAGCTGCATCTGGTACATTTTCCGGTAGGCTTGTATAAACTTGTATACTCTGACCTGTTTTGTTTCATGTCCCCAATGGGTGGATGCCTGGGTAACTGCATGCAGACGGGTAAAATCTCCGCAAGACAGATCGTTTGAAGCATCGGGACAGCAGCCGACTAACGAAAAATGTATCATCTCAAAGATGAAAAGGGCGAGAAACTTGAATATTGTAGAAGAATGAACAAGCGATCGGATAAAGGTATTTTGGACAACAAGCCGCTCAAACTGTCAAGGGAAGTACATGTTCGAAAAACTAGAGATAATATATATCATCATACCTTATGCAGACAAGTAGTTCAGACCCACTACTATGTTGAACTCCAATGATCACACATCTGAACAACGACAAACCCATCTTTACCCCCAAGCTATGTTGAACTATCAAAGCATGCTGCTGCTCTGTCGTTTCGCGGAACCCATAGAGCCGGTACCGTGCTAGCAAACGAGTTGACGCATGCAACAGGGGAAAAGCAAAAGTGGTTCCCCCCAGCATAACCATAGGCTAAGTACCCCTGAATCATAGCAGCGGAGGCTAGTTACCTTCCGAGTAAATTGGTGAATGTACCGCTACGAGACATGTTGTAGAAGCGGGCATTCGTGGCACTATGTTCAGCAATACGGAAGGAAGGCAGCTTGCATGGTAGACCGTAGAATGTGATTGTCAGTATATGCTTACCGCTACCTATTCATTACGACTTTTGAATTGATAGAATATCCCGTAACAATAAATCGTGATTTAAAGCCGTCTTCATACGAGCGATGGAGTAAAGACTACGAGCATGGAAAGGTGGGCTTTTAGCTCCCATCCGCCCCCTAAACCATCTTGGGATTAGCCCACTCCCCCATCACTCTTTCGTCGGAAAAGCCCACGACAACGACGATTGCAAGTCTGCAAACGAGCTTTGTGAACGCCACAACATAACCAGCAACTGTCCGAAACAACACCGAAGCCATCAATTGCTATCACTCTCTAACAAATCTTCAGCGTCCTTCTTTCCTCCGCCCGCCCACCAAAACCAACCAAGAAACCCTCCACCACACGAAACCTCACCCACCACCCATCTTCAAACGCGCCGAAACCCATCCACACTCGCGGTGCGCGTACAGAACCACAAAAAAAAACACCCCCCAAAAACACACCCAAAAAAATGTCATACTTCCGCATAACCCTCATGCGCTCCGGCATCGGCATGCCCGCCAAAACCCAAGGCGTACTCAAAGCCCTCGGCCTCCGCAAGCGCATGACAACCGTCTACCATCCCGTCTCGCAATCAGTCGCGGGCCAGATCATGCGCATAAAAGAGTTGGTCGATGTCAAGGAGGTGGCGGTTCCGATGAGCAAGGAGCAGATGCGTCAGGCGAGACGGCCGGATCCGGGGTATTATGTTGAGATGAGGGCGGGTGAGGCGATGGGGGGTGTATGAGTAGGTTGGAAGAAATGTGTGTATGTGCATATACGGGCGTTTTGTCTTTTTTTTCTGGGGCGGAATCAGAATAGGGGCATAGTTTGGCATGTATTATCATGGAGGGGAGGGGGGTTTTTTCTTCTCTCTCTTCAAGCTTCCGCTTTTTTTTGGCGGGTTTTCTTTATACCCTCTTCTCTTTAGACTGGAATGTCGAATTGCAAGAGTTGCAGATGTAGATTTTTGGTTTCAAATGAGACAATGATTTAAAGTAATCATCTGTATTCACGTTGCTGTAAATCTACTTCAATTGCTATCATATGGTTTTATGTAGAATCATAGCCTTGATATGAGCACGTAAGCAACAGTCGGAGGATCATGACATTCAGGCATATCGACCCAATTTGCCATCTGGATCGGCAGGCTCAGTCGATTCAGACGAGCTTGAGTATGTCCCAAAGAGAGTGGTAACTTTTTTCTTCTCTTCAAGGCGCTGGATACCTTGTGCATGTCACGTCACTAAGCATAAACTCACCTGTACATTAAGTACCAGTGCTAATCAAACACTTACCATCATACATTTAACAAAACTTACAAGATGACCGACTGTCCACTAGTCAAGACCTAGCACCAGCGTATAATGACCTGTATATCAGTATCAAACGCAAAAAAACCACTGGTATCGTACCGTCATCACTTTCGAATAAGAGGAAAAAAACCGCTCTATAACCAATCTTGCATTAATGATCAAGTTTCTAAAAAATACAGCTTTCGAGAGCTACTGACCTTTTGTATGTCTCGAAGCGCAATTTGCGACTCGGGTGAGGTTTATTGCAAGCGGACACCAGCCGTACCCTTCTTCTTGGCTTGGTCGTCAAACGCGTTGCCCAAACCACCGCCTCCGCTTCGACTGGAATCGAGCGAACTCTCGGCCATCTTCTTCTTCTCAGCCGCAATTTTCTCAAGATGCTTCTTCGTCTTGGTGTTACCGCTGCCCTTGCCGTGGAATTGGTGACTGAGCTGCTTGAACGCCTCTTTCTGGTTCATTTGACGACCATGCTCATCGACATACTTGAGCTCGATGTTTGGCGTGTACTCCTTGTTAAAGAGCTCGGCGAGACGACGGCTTTCGACCATGTCTGCGCTGGTGTTGTTCTTGCGGGCCCATTCTTCGCGCTCGCGAGGCGTCATGTTATTCCAACGGGCAGAATTTCGCTCGCGCTCACGAACAATCTTGCGTTGACGTTCAGCTTCCGCCTCGGCCTTAGCCTTGTCGGCCATGAACTTCTGGCGTTCACGGTACAAGGCATTCTTCTCACCAGCGTCAGATTCGGCGACCAGTCCTCGTTGCTTGAGCAGGGCAAGCGTGGCGCCTAGACCTTGATCAACAGTCTTCTCAGCCTCGAGACCTGTTTCGGTAATTTCGGTGGAAAGAGCACGTGAGACGCTGCGATTCCTTGCGTCTTCTGCTTCTGCTGCTTCAGCGTATGATTGGCCCATTTCTACATCGCCATCTTCGTCAGCAACTGGAATGTCGCCCATTGACTTGGTGCCTTCAGAGATGTGGCTTGACTTTCTACGTTTCCGGCGTGCCTCTTCTTCTTCATCACCAGCCGCACCCAAATTTGAAACAAACTCAGTCGTCTCGTCAATGACTAACCCGACATCTCCATCTTCGGTAGATTCAAGGATGTCAGGTTGGGGGGTGGTAGCTTCTTCGCGCAGTTGTCGTGCCAAATCTTCTGGTCGCATCTTCTTGCGCTTTTTGAGGGCTTTTTGACGCTGGGCCGCAAGGTTTGCCTGAAGATCATCATCGTCTATGAAGGATTCGTCGAAAACCTTCTTCTTCTTCTGTTGTGGTGCAGCGGCTTCTCCGCCATCAACTTCCATGTCGTCAGCTGCAGGCTCCGTAGGCATGGCGAGCATTTCGTCCTCATCTTCTACACGCTCCCGCTTGGACTTCTTGCTCTTCTTTTTCTTGGGTTTCTTCATTTTGACCTCCGAAACATCCATGTAATCATTTGCAGGCGCATCTTCTTTGAGTATGTCAAGACTGATGGCAACCTTCTTTGGCTTTGCAGCACCTTCAGCCTCAGCCTGGATAGCCTCGACAGTCCGGCCCTTGCCATCTAGTGTGAAAGCCTTGCTCTTCTTGCCGTCAATTTCCTCATCGTATTGTGCCAAAATCGACTTTTGACCCGACTCGTCTATGTCGTTGGGGTCATAAACACGCTTTCGCTTCTTGGAATCGAGTCGCTCTTGCAGCCGCTCCTTCTCCCTCAGCGCAACCGCCTCGAGCTCATCTTCGTCTTCGGCATCGACTGCAGTGTCCTTGAGCACCAAAATCTGGTCCTCGTCGTCGAACTCGTCTAGCTCGTGTCCAACTTTGACGCCCGCAAGGTCTTTATCGGTGTACTGCATAGCCTCAAGCGCCTGGCGCTCGCGCTCTTCCAGCTCCTTGCGCATTTGTTCTTCCTTGGCGATCCTCTTCTGGCGCTTCTTGCTACTTTTCAACCAAGCCAAGTCATCGTCAACGTCCGCTTCATCCGCCAGTCCCTTGCCTTCGAGTTTGGTAAAGCGCGATGCCCTCTCGCGTTCTTTCTTAATGGCGGCGGCACGCTCCTCGCGCCTGATCTTGGCCAATCTTTCTTCCTCGAGTTTCTTCCAGTTATCAGAAGCAGCGGCCTGACGCGTATCGATGGTGCTTGCAGGCTCTCCGTCCGAGCCGTCGTCATCTTTGGCAGGCTTGAAATCGAGACCGGAGGGCGCTGCGGGCGCTGCGGAAGCACTTCCACCTGGGAGGGCGGGAAGGCCCATGGACAGGCGAATCTTGTTCGCCTCATCGATGGATAGGTCGACCATGGTGGAGGTGGTTGCGGGAGGATGGTCAAATAAGGGAGTCGCGTTACAGAAAAGCAGTATACCCCCGGTCGGATAGGGTCGCAAGCAGGGTACAGAGAAGAAGCAGTGTACCTACTTTTTTTCTTATAAGTAGGCAGCAGCCCGAGGAAGGTGAATGCGTCCTTCTCGATCTACCAGGTAGTGAGAGTCGGGCGTTAGATGGGTGTGGGTAGGCTGCGGGCAACATGGCACCTCCGAAGCAGCAGTTTCGCGCCAAGGCGCTAGCACGGACGGCGCGCCGACGATTTGCCGGATCGCATAAAAAAAGTTCGTCGGCCTCAAGCTTTGTTCTCTCCACCAACGCCCTGTGTCAGAATCTCCCATCCACCGCCCAGAGGGCTTGCTCTCTGCGGCAGTGTGTATCGGTTGTAGATGCTGACAGCTCGTCCATTATGGAGCCATCTTCTTCCCGGTAGATTGTTTCGGACGACAGGAGCGGAGAACAACTTTGGCAGCTTCCGGCAGCCTGAGCTCACCGAAAGGTTTGAGCTCGGTGTATGGTTGTCTGTCAGGCAGACTGATTCCGTCTCCCTTTTGCTAGGCCGTCGGCCATTGATGCTTGGGACTAACCCAGTCGGCTACATATTCTCGTTATGCCGAGTACTGCAGCTTTTGCTTCTGGCGCGACTTTGTGTGAAACTTTGAGCATCGTTCATCTCGATAGCTTCGCCCTTGCGCTCTTTTCACGCGACCTCGATTGCATGTTTACAAACAATGGCGTCATGTGCTATGCAGTTCGTTGCATGATGCAGGACGCGGAATACGGAATGGGACGTAATTTCACGGGTTTGCGACGAGATGCTAAGAGGCTGCTGCTTGCAACTTGAAATGCACGTCTTGGACTCATCCTACGCCTATGTCTTTGAAAATGTACATGTTATACAGTAGTTCAGCTACAGAGCCAATCGAATGCAATACGGACCCTGTGCCAATGCCGTCCATTCACTCCACATGTTTCTCCTTCGTCCAAGATGGCATGTTTCCCCAGTCATGTCGAAACGCCTAGTTTGTTGCCGGTACCTCTCCCCTCGCCAACTTGAGCAGCTCAGCCTCTCTGCGTTCCTTCAATAACCTCTCCCTGACCTGTATCCTGTCTGCTTCACTCCTCTCCTTGAACTCGGCAATCTCCCGCATCTCTGCCAATTCCTGCTCTGTCGGCTTAATCTCCTGCGCACCAGTCTGCGCAACCAGCGCCTCTAAGATCTCACTCTCCATCTGGTCCCTTATGTTGATCGTATATGTAGGCTTCGACGTATCAGGAACGAGAGTATTGCGTGCATTCGGTGTACCAGATGGCGGTGTAGAGTCCGATTGCTGTGCTACAGGTGCGTTGGTAGTACCGGCTGCGGGTTGGGTCTTCGAAGCCGTGTAGATGTGGAGGAGCGCTGGTCCGTCTGCGTCGTTGTGCCGTGAAATTTGAATTGGGACGGATGGGTTTCGGTATTTTATTCGCGGTAGCATCTCACGCCAGAATTTCCTGTTCGCAATCTTAATATGCGGCGTCGCCTTGTCCCAATCGACTGATCCATCGTCTGGGCCGTTTGGAGGATAATTTCGAGCATACCTTGCCCCTCGGTGGCCTCCATAAATCTTCGTGTTGAACTCCATGCTAATCTTGGATACCTCCTTCGGTAATATAAGAGCGCCAGGCCCGCACCTTATCCATAGCAACTGTGAGTAGCACTATCAGCCGTCTGTTGTATTTTTTACGCATTTCAACCTCGCATGTCGGACTGCGGGCGGCGCTTTCGGAGGTGCTCGTGGCAGAAATCAACATACCTTCTGTAATATTCGTCAGCCCTATTCAATGACCAGAAGCCGATTGTAAAAGTAGATTGCTCACCTCGCGCAACTTGCGCATGCGACTTAATATGTGTACCATGGTTGCTGTGCTGTGGTGTTGAACTGCAATTGCGGAGACTCGAGAGATTCTTAGTGCACTTCCCCGTAGCGCGAATGGCCGCATCTTGGCATCTACAGGTGGGACATGGGCAGCCCCTCTCCACCTCGTCCAACACGCGAAATCACATCACCGCTTTCATTTTTGAATACCATCCTCTAGTTTGCGCCATGCATCTTTTCCACAGGCACTTAAGCAATTACAAAGTTTGATTGACACCACATGCTGACTGTCTCTATTCTTATGGTCGTCACCACTATCTCAATCAAACTCACACGGATAATGACTCAATGTATATTGCATATCCTCTGTCACATACATGATATTGGCGCACAAAAACTCTTCAATCGTCTCGACCTTCATCATCCATACTACTCTCACGCCACAACGGGCTCTTCAGGGACAGTTCTGAGCTTTGCAGCAGCGTAACCCCCCTAAGCAGTTGACTTGCTGAATTGAATCAAGCGCTTGACACCAACCTATTCCAAAATTAGTACATGTTCTCAAAACGCCAATTCCTGGTATTCAACTTACCATCCAGTTGCTGCCCTCATCCGTCTTGTTAGTCATCAGCTCCGAGAAGATGGCAACAGCCGTGTCAAACTGCTTGGCTTGGATGTTGGCTGCCAATTCATTCATTTGCTGAATAGTGTCCGGCTTGAGAAGATCCTGGTTGTTAAGATGGTCGAACAAGATGTTAAGTCTCTTCTCAGTGTCGGCAACGTGTTGCCTGTACTGGGCGGGGGCTTTGCTCTTGACGCGCTGAAGCTCTGCATCGAGAATCTCATAGATTGGCCGAGCTTCATCGGGTATGTGTGATCGATCACCAGCAGCTTTTGGAAATTAGCAAAAATTGCTCAACTGTAGGTATAGTTTGATGGAGGAGAGTGGATTCATTGTGGTGGGTTAAAAGTCACTTACGATGCTTGGCCGCTACTGGGGCAGCACTTTGGGATTGTTCAGTCCTGGGCTGAGAATCAGGTCTTGGTGGACCTCCTTGAGGGGGTCCAGCGCGTGGGGGGCCTTGTGGAGGGCCTCTTGGTGGGGGAGCTGCGGCGGCAGGAGGAGGCGTTTGCTGGACAGGTGAAGGTGCGTAAGGCGATGCCGCGGGGGTAAATTGACCTGGTGGTGGTGCAATGTTGCGCGGCGGGGGCATCCCAGCCATTGGTCCTGGCGGAGCCGATGGCTGCGATCCTGGGGCGGGAGCATAGCGGTTCGAGGGTGGTGCAGCGGCTGTTGGAGGTGTGTATGGCGATGCTCCACGTTGTACTGGTGCTTGTGGTGGTGCCGCAAAACCAGCAGGTGGTGGAGGAGCATAGGTGCTAGCTGCTGGCGATGGGGCGTACTGACTTGGAGTGCCTGCTCGTGGAGGACCAGATGGAGGACCCTTTGGTGGTGGGGGTGGTGTTGACCTTGCTCCAGGGGAAAACGGACCTTGTGGCGGACCTGCCATTGGCTGCTGCTGGTTTGGGAATGGAGAGGCTACAGCATTCATCGGAGTACTGCGGCGTGACGCTGGTTTCGGCGGGCCAAAGTCTGGCGTATCGTTCCATGCTGGAATATGGCCTCTGTTGGCTGCAGGTACAATGGATGGAGAGTTGGAGAAGTTGCGTGGCGGAGGTGCGATTGGATTTTGCTGTGGGGTCTGGTTGAAGCCACCGTAACTTGGTTGGGGTACAGACGCCTGAGATGGCTGATAGCCAGCAGGGGTGTAGGCATTACCAGACGCTGCGCCCGCTGGCGCATACGGTGATCGTACGGCAGCTTGGGCTTGTTGCGACAAAGGATTGATTGGGGCGTAAGGCGACGCTCCCGGTTGTGTCTGGAGTGGGTTGGTTGGAGCGTATGGCGTCTGTTGAGGTGGTACCGGTGTTGCTTGGGCAGGTTGACCATACGAGGGAACCACAACCTGGCGTCGTCCGCTGGCAGTAGACTGAGTGGGCCTATGGGCACTTGCTGGTTGAGTTGTGGCCTTCCTTGTCGCTTGCTTGACACGATTTCTCGCCACATCTGCTGCTGGGTACTTTTCAGGGAGTAGATCCAAGTACCTCTCGGCAATCGACAACTGTCCATGGGCGGATGCGATATCAGCGTACTCGACGTACTTTGCGTACAAAGGCTCGAGTTTCCAGTCGGCATCCTTTTGCTGTTCAGTGTCCTTGAAGTCAGTCACCTTTCGGAAAATGGTGACCTTTTCAATAAACTCTTGCAGTGATCGCGCGTGGATAGAGAAACTGTTGTCGCTATCCGTCTTCTCAATGCTAGCCTTCTCATTTTCTTGCAATTCCTGCGCCCAGTTGACGACGACCTTCTCGAGCTTGGAACCAGCCAAGTAACAGAAAGATGCATCCTTGCGGTAGGCAACATTTCCCTCTGAGAAGGCCTCCTCCAGACGATCACCAAGGGCCTCGCACAGATCAGGGAAGTCGGCTTGGTCGGCAAATGTGCAGATGGTAGCCATGACTTCCTTCCAGTCTTTGAGATCAGCGTTGTACACGAAATCCCATAGGTTCTTTCCAACAACAGATGCAAGAAGGCGAAGATAGTTTGGCGCGTCTGCCTGCTTCTTGAAGTATGCAGCTTGTGCTTTGGCGATGCACTTCTCGCCACCGCAGATAGCGATCATGAAAGCATCTGACAGTCGGTTTTCCTTCAGACAAACGTCTAATGCCGCGTTGAAATCTCCTAGCATAAGACTGCGAGTGATCTTGGTATCCGCCTCCGACTCCGAGCCAGTGTAGATCTGGAAGGGATTGTTGGTCTTCGCGCCCTTGGAAGCCGCAAGGTCGGAGAGAAAGTTGCCCTCGTTGGTCGCATTATCGAAAAACGAGGCACCTTCGTCAGCATTGGCATCTGCATCGCCATTGGTCTTGTCTTCCGTCTTCTCCTCTTCCGTCTCTTCTTCTTTTTTATCGGAGAAGCCAAGGTACTCGATGAGTTTGCTGCGTGGGTTTTCTGAAATCAGCGTCTCAATTACGGTCCAGTCAGCCCTTTCCTCCTCGTTGGTTGCCTTTGATATTTTTGATTCACAGATTGAAGTGAAGTTACCCTCCTGTAAAGCCTTGTCGAACTCTTCGCTGGCTGTGCTGACTTCAGAGTCTACCGCAAAAGTCGAAATCGAGACCTTTGACTTGTTGTCAACGATGCCAAATCGTACCAACTTTCCACCGAAGCCAAAAGCCGCACCCGCTCTCCTCTTCAGCCATTTTGGGGGTGTCTTGAGCGAGAACGATGCGCCCTGGGGCTCTGCATGTGTCTGCGCAAAGAAATCCTCTCCCTCGGGTGCTTGGGTGGCTGCCTTCTTGTGGTCTGCAGCAGCGGTAGTGTTTTGTAATGTCTGGATCGCAATCTTGCCGTCAAAGGAGGCGGTTGCGAGGAGGTTAGGGTTCGCAGGGTTGAATCTCGTCTGGAAAGTCCAGTTGGTCACTACAGGGAATTCACCCAAAAGCTCACCAGTATGAGGGTTCCAAGCAATTGTCCTATTGTCCTTGCCGCAGGACAGGAGAAGGTCGCTGTCTTGTATACACCACGAAAGGGATAATACACCCTGATCGTGCGCTTGTAGGGTTTTCTCGGGCGCATTAGTATTGCGCAGATCCCAAACCAGTACAAGCGGGTTCTGGTCGGTTGGGATGGCAGTGGCCAGTCTCGTGGGCACATTGGGATCCCATGATACTGCGCTGACAGTCTTTCGCCCGTAGTGGTTCAGTGTGAGGTTCTCCTTCTTCAACTTGACATCCCAAACAGTGACAAAGCCACCACTGCTTCCAGTCGCAAGAATATGCGCAACCTTCTTGTTCCAATCCAATGCGGTGTACTCGTCGGGGTTGGCTCCAGCCTTGCCCAAGCGGAACGACTTGGATTCGTCGTCAATGTCGTGAATGAACAGTTCGCCTTTGGCGCCTGCGGATGCGAGGATGTTCGGCCGGAATGGGTTGAATTGTATCGCTTGGATTGGGCCAGTGTGCTTCTCGATCTGGTCAATCTCGGCTTCGTCACTGCACAAAGTCAGCTCTGCGTAATCACTCGCTGGGCTGAGAATGCTCTGACCCTTCACCTGCCCTTAACTTCTCCGCGTCCCATAGTATCAATACCCCGCTATCGAGCGCGCCCGCTATTACTCCATGGGGGTATTGTTCACTAGGTTGACTCCATGCAATGTCGTTAAATCTAGAGAAATGTTCAGTAGCTGCTCCATCTTTTGTAGATGCCATTGCCCATGTACCGTGATTCTACGCTTACAGTCGCAACTGGCTTGAGCTCAACGCCCTGCTCACTGTCGTCCAAGCCAAGTTCCCAAAGCTCTAGCTGGGTTTCGTTGGAGAAGTCGGCGTCTACAGCTCCAGCCTTTGTTCCAGTTGCAATGAGGGGCTGCGTTGGACCGGGCGACCAGGCAAAAGCGGCCGTCCGTGGGACTTCTCGTAGACGGACCATGACGGTGGGCGGTGCTTGCACCTCAATGGCGTCAGACTAGAGAATTGGGTAATTGACAAGCAACAAAACAAGGAACTGATGGAAATTTCTTGTAGAGCGAGACAAGACGTAGAAGTGGGAGAAAGGAGAATCGGAATTGTGTCAGAAGCGCGGAGTGAGATTCGAGGCAACGACGTGCTTCACCATGCAATCATCCACCTGTCCTTCCCTGGTCCATCGCGCGGGCGGCGCCCGATGTGTGGGTCCCGCTAAGTGGCCACGTGATATCGAATTTCCACTCAATCTCTACAACACGACTACTCTGTGAACCAGTATCGCATCGCACACCACATGCAACCATGTCCAACCTGTCTGATACTTCGCGACTAAAGGCCACAGTATTCGTCGGCGGGCTCGACCAAGCGGTAACACAACAAACGCTCTTCCACGCGTTCCTGCCCTTTGGCGACATTGTCGAGGTGAACCTTCCCAAGCCAGAAAACCAAAGCCAGGGCGAGCAGCATCGTGGATTTGGATATGTGGAGTTTGAAACTGCAGCCGACGCGGTCGATGCGATTGATAATATGGATCGGAGCGAGCTCTACGGATCTGTGATCAAGGTAGCGCCAGCCAAACCACAGAAAGATGCAAACGAAGGACTAGGCAGCAAGACGGCTATTTGGGAACAGGTACGTGTCTTCAATACAAGCATATTCGTGCGTCAACCGGTGCACTGACAAGAATGCAGGAGGGGTGGTTGGCGAAGCATGCTGTGAGTGAGGAGGACCGCAAAGCCAATGAGCAGGCCCAGGATGAGACAAATGGACCCATGGACCCCATGCAAGGCCTGGAGGGTTTGGATGAAGCTGGACCTAAGCCAGCATGAAGTCTGTTGTTTGGCTTGAATGAGGTGTCTAGTATGGTGTATGCCGGCGTTTGGGGAAAAGTGCATTTGATACCACATGCTATTAGAAGTAATTATTCAATCTTGATTTGAGCGATAACAACTACTACCAGACGTGCCAATCTTCACCATATGAGAAACAAAGGCATAGCACAAAGGAAATCCGATGCTTGATTTCTGAACTTGACAAGGACTCAGTCCCGTATGCTGTACCTATACACATGGCCGCTGGAGCCCTTCCAAGCCCGCCGATTCCGCCATTTCTGGAGACCTGTTCCAAGCATCTATTCCTGCTTGCCCTGCCTCTTGAGGCGGAGGGTCTTGTCGACCCAGAGTTTTCGGGTAATGGAGAAGAAGGCCATGACGATGGCGACGCTACACGTATATCAGACCACCTGTACAGTGAGTAGGTGATGCGGAAATGAGGGGCTTACCCGAGAACGACGACTAAGGAATGAGGTTAGCAAAGGATCCCTGCAAGCACCAAAAAGAGGGAGGGCTTCAACATACTAAGGGGCCAAATCTCCGTGGGGATGTTCTTAAGCTGGCGGAGACGCTGCGAAACGGTGTGGGCTGTTGCATTGTCAATTCAAGTTGGTTGCAGCGGCATCGAAAGCCAGGCTGTGATTGGCCTACCGCTGTGCTCCTCCTTCTACGCCTTGTTAGCAAGCCATTCGCCAGAATCAAGAGAAAGGCAAGAGAACGTACGGGGACGGGGCTGCGCAGGGCCATGGTCTGCCTCACGAAGAGCTGGGGGCTCTGGCGCATGGCCATCAACCGCGTGGGCTGCATTGCCATCATTCGCGATGGCTGCATGGCCATCATGCGAGTTGGCTGCATGGACAGGGCGCGGGTGGCTTTGAACATGGTTGGAGGATTGCTGTGTTTGCAATTGGGGTCGGGAGTGGAGAGTTGGCGTCGTCGCTGGGGATCGAAAGGGCTTCACGGGTTTCGTCACAGGCACGCTGAGAGCTCGCTCGCGGAGCTTGACTGCCCGGAAAACGCCGAGCGAATTGTGTGTGGACAAAGCGTCTCGGGTGGAATGATCGCAACCTCACAACTTCACCTCCGTCACCACTTTGCCCAACTACGCCTGCCATTGCCGCCCCACCACCTCGAATAACCCCCGACGCACTACCGCAATCATGTCTGACAACGGCGAAAACGGCGAGGAGCTAGTCACCAAGCCCTTCAAGTTCGTCACTGGTGAGCTTTTCCCGCTACTCTGCGCATCGCAGACACCAAGCTAACTCGTCCCTTCACAGCTGGTACGCCGATTTCGCAATCTCTCTATAGTTGAACCCCTGCCGAGGGCGGTTATCTGGAGCTCTGGGAGTGCAAAACGCGGTGCTAACAGACTTGGGCGCATATAGGCTTCGATGCCCGCTTCCCCAACCAGAACCAGACCAAGCACTGCTGGCAAAACTACGTCGACTACCACAAGTGCATCAATGCCAAGGGCGAGGACTTTGCTCCCTGCAACCAGGTGCGCATCCTTTGGAATCATGGGAAATGAAGGCGTGTACTAATAGATGGACGTAGTTCAAGTTGGCCTACAAATCTCTGTGCCCCAGCGGCTGGACATCGCGATGGGACGACCAGCGTGGTGAGTACCCATTATACTCCTTGCTTCATACGTGCCGCTTGCACCGACGTCTCCCTAGAGAGCCAGCAGCTGATATGTGTAATAGAGGCCGGAAACTTCCCCGTAAAGCTCGACCAGTAAGCGGCTCGCTCAGACGAGATGTAGCATGTAGCAAGTTTGTAGAGCAGGAAAAGGAAGAACCAGAGACTGGCATCTGCATCTTAGTGTTCTGTATCATAGAGATTGATATCAGCAATGCAGCTTGGGTTCGCATTATTCGCCACGGGCTATACTTCTACTCTCGTGATGTCATTGACTCCTGTGCTGTTTTTGGTCCCTCACTAGTTGATTGACAAACTGGCTAACACCAGACTCAATGTGCCTTTCAAAACTGATAAAAAAGCATACACACAAATATATCATGTAAGCAGCTACATCAAGAACAGCCGAGGCACTGATCCTCAAAGTATGGTCAGTGGAATTTATATATATATATATATATATATATATATTGGATACATTATCATTCAGTATCTGGAGGGGATATCTAAGGGTCAATCTATATGACGCAACTTTGGAAAAAAGGACCTTCAATTGGATGGAAGGGAACATGGTGACTCGCGGAGAGAGAGAGAGAGCAAATGAGAATAGGTACAGAGAGAAGACGAGAGTGATAGAGACAGACTGCCGCCCGTGACACAATATAGATATAAGGAAATAAGACCGTTAAATGCGAGGCTTGAGCGAGTGTAAAAAATCGTAAAGAAAATCGACAATTGCCGTGTCGACACGTGTTGTAGTGGAGGAGGGTTGGATGGGGTAGTCGAGGAGGTAGGAGAGTGCCTTAGTTCGGCCGTGCGTTGAATGCAAAGTTGCCCTCGTATGTTGGTCCTCTACAAAAGAGCAACAGATTCGTAGGCAGAGGAATATATGACATGTATGGCTCCGTACCGAGAACTGGCTCGTAGCGAGGGTTGTAATGTTTCAGCCCCCAATTCGGGTCGTCATTGCGGACCTCCTCTTGCTCTTCGGGTTCCTCCTGTAGTTGCTGCAGTTGCTCTTCCTCCTCTTCCTCCTCTGCAATTGCAGAATCGTCGCCGTGGGCGCTGTCCTGTCGCCAATGCTTTCCGGGATCCAGGATCTCGCCGATGCTAGCAAGCGACGTAGGCGCAGCTGCACGGGGTTGATAGCTTGCATCATAAACCTCGCGGGTCTCGGGGTTCATCAAGGTGTCAAAGGCAGCCTGTAGGGCTCGGTACTTCTTGGCATCGCTTGAAAAGTACACAACTCGTAACCGGCGATAGGCAGCCTTGACCTCGTCGGTAGTTGCCTTTGGGGTGATTTCCAGGATGGCGTAGTGGTCGATGGCATCTGGGCTTTCAAGGGCGGGGTCATACATGGAGTCGGGAGACGAGATAGGAGAAGCCATGGGTGTGCGCTGGGCAAGGATGACGGAAGCGTCCGAGACGTAGATGGAGGCTCGTTTGCTATGCTGGACTGCTGGCGAGTTGCTCGAAATGCTCATAGGCCGTGGCCGCTGGACTGCCTCGGACTGGTTGCGCTCGTGGGCGAATCTCTTCCTAGGCGAGGGGGATCGGAAGGGACTGAAGCTAGACTTGCACACTTGGTCGGAGGATGAGGGAGACATGGTAGAGTATGAGTTGATCATTATGAACTAGGCACAGCAGGTAGAGAGTGTGGAAGAATAATGGAGGGCTCGGATAACAATGCTCGACACTGTGTGTGCAGAGGGGGTGGTGGTGATGTTGTTGTGGTCAGGCCGAGTGCAGGAAAACATGAAAGCGCACGCCTTGTCTAAGACACGAGAGGGACAGGGCACAGCAGTAGCTGCGCGCAATGCAGGGGAACGTTGTAATCACCAGGGCGGCCAGAAAGTGGAGCCTCGCCGCAAGCTCGCGAAATGAGGATGTTGTGAATGGACATAATTTAATGATTAAGCTAGGGGGGTTAGGATGAAACGAAATACAGTTGCTGGGCTGGGTGTTTGGATGACTCTGACGCGTCAGTGCTGAGGGGTGAGGGTCCAGCTAACATTCGACCGGCGCTCGGTCTGCTCGGGCATGGCACGTGCTACCGTGATCACAACTGCAACTGCAATGCAACTGCGCGCCACACGGTTGGTGTGGGGATGCGGCTAGCGCCTTCATTACCGATGGCACCAACGCATGATGAGTGGCTCGTTGGCAGGGGGACTCGTCCATGCACCAATCACAGCCAAGATGCTCGTAAGTTTCGCACTAGATTGGCTAGATTAGACCTATTTAGAGTTCTCCCACTACTGACTAAGCGAAACCGCCATAATCGCCCCACTACGAATTAAGTACGATACTTTCGTCCCAGCACAGAGTAGGTAATAGCTCACCGTTGCCGTTGTCGTCGTCATCCTAAGCACAGGACCAGGCGGCCGACGACGATGACTGGCGGCCATGGCAAATAATGCAAAGAAGAGGAAGCACACTTCCACCACGGGCTCCGCCAATGCCCCCAAACGCGCCCGATTTCCCCAAAGACCCCAGCATGTCATCCCCGCGACGCCCACCAGCAACGCGTATCCCAATGGCGAAATCAACGTTGCAAATTTTCTCAAGTCGCACGAGAACGAAATCAAGTCGCTGGAAGGCGCCATCAAGGTAGCCAAGAACGCCCTGTCACGGCGCGCGTTCCAAGATGTCCCCAGGGAGTTGCGCAGGAGGACTGCGAGCCACAATCCCACACGTGTACCCAAGAGACTGCGACAACGGGCGCGACAGGAGGCCAAGGACGACAACACCCCAATCTCAAGAGGCACCAGCGGTAGCGGTATGGGCAAGGGCAAAAAGAAGCATCTGCGCAATGAGGGTCGGGAGAAAAGCAGGCAGAATTGGGAGAAGCGGGCAAAGAAGAGAAAGCAAGGCAATTGCGCAGCAACTCACACTCAGGATCACGATGGAGACACCACCATGGACCCTCCCCCCGTAGACGCCTCAAAGCCAGCACCTCCTCCAAAGACGAAGTCGAAACGCATATTCCCTGCCCTCGCAACTCCTCATACTCCTCCCTCGCGATTCCGTAGACGGCAAAGAGACAAGACATGGCTGCCTACACATCTATGGCATACGAAGCGCGCAAGAATGACAGACCCCAAAGCGCCTCTGTGGCGGTTTGCCCTCCCTCTGCAGCCAGCTGCCAAGGCATACCGTCTTACTCACAGAGCTGCAACTCAGCGCGGAGCCGTGGCCTGGGACATGAGTTACATGTCCACTATTAGTCTCCAAGGAACTGATGCCAGCCTCACAGGCTTGCTGAAGGGACTACACTTTGGTGCAGAAAGCGCAGAAGATCCATGGCAGAATAGAGGGAGAGCGAAGAAGTGGAGGCATGGCACCAGAACTTGGGAAGGCTGGATACACGAAAGAGAGGACAATCGTCTGAAGAGGATCGCCCACGTCACCATCGTCTGGTGTGTGGCAGAGTCGGAGAAAGACAAGAGGAGGGCATTCATTCGTGTGCATCCGAGTGCTTTCTTGACACTCTGGAACGAGGTCATCAGGGCTGCCAAAGTACAGAAGCCACCAGTTATCGTTCAGGATGCCCGCTTCGAGATTGGCTCCATCGAGATCATGGGTCCTGCTGCAGCAGAAACTCTCTGTTCTGTACTTCATCCCACATCCTCTTCTTCTGACACAGATGCCGGTGCTCCACAGTCACTGTGGCCTTTGCTAGCCCTGGTAACAGATGTTGCTTCGCTGCCAGCGGGCGCGCTGCTGGCATTTGACATAACAGACCCTCGGCTCCGCGACCCTCCTTCGACGACACCAACAGCACAAGATCAACAGTCCATGACGATTCTGACCGAAGCACTAGCAACCTGGCCAATTGACCAGACGCAAAAGGCCGCGGCAGTATTCAACACGGACGCTAGGCTGGCCGCCCAGCGAACCATGCCATCTCAAAAATCCATCAATCGCCGAAGAAGCGCGTGCACACTTGGCGAAGACCTTGAGGCGCACCCGACGGACCCAAAAATACCGGCCCTCGTATTTACGTCACGAGAGAGCAGGTCGTGGACAATACTGCTTCCGTGGAAATGTGTTACGCCGGTATGGAGACAGATGATGCGCTACCCCGTCTCCACGGGCGGGAATCCGCGGTTTGGCGGCTTGAAAGAGCGACGACAAGTCGACTTTGAGCGATCAGTACCGCACTTCCCCTACGATTTCCCCAATACAGATGCTGGCTGGGCCTGGGAACTGCATACGCGACAATGGAGGAAGCTCGAGTGGACAAAGCGCCCAAAGGGTAAGCGGATAGAGTGGACCACCATCGATCTTGGCAACGGCAGGAAGGGTGAAGTGGGAGAGCCCTGGGCTTGTGAATGGTTGCGACTCTTGCCATCAACGCACAATACTGCCGACTTCTCACATCAGCGATCGGAGGAAGGGTATACTCCACTGCGTCAGCTGTCGTCTGTTCAGGCAAAAAAACTTGTGGATGGACATCTTTTGGTTGACAGCCGGTTACTATCAACCTGCGTCTTCGCTGTAAAGATCACAATGATACAACGTGGTACTCCAACAGAATGCGCTCGTATCTACCGGCTGCCTGCAGACGCAGAGCTGCGAAGTAAATGGGTGTCACTAATGCCACTTGGTGAAGACAAGCGCATGCTAAACAAGAAGGGATCTCGGCCTAGCGATGTCAAGCCTAGTGGTAATCCGAAAAGGCAGCTTGCAAGAAGACTACTCGAACCGTCAAAATTAGACCAGGGCCCGCCCAGAGCCGGTGAGGAGGACTACCCCTTGGTTCCCGACGAGGGGGACCTGGTTGGCTTTGTCACCACGGGCAACTATAACCTCGCAGAGGGTATGCCGACTGCTGTAGCCAACCTGGCTGTGGACAGGATGCTGAGCCTTGTGGGGGCACAAGGGATATCGCCGTCGGATCGCATGTGCATTGTAAGACCAGCGGGCAGTAGCATTGGTCGGTTAGCGAGATGGGAAGTGAGGTGAAAGGCACCAAGTATTACTCTAAATAGATATATATTTATAGGTGCGCGAAGAATGGATAGCATTGGTTTCCTGTTGGAACCGTTGGGAATATAATATTATGCGCTTTACATGTCGGTCGTGTGCGTAATGGGGGTGGGGTAGGGCAGATAGGTTCGCAATGGGCTGCATGGGGAGTGCATTGCGCTAAACCGGGCCCGGGGACAGGGGTACTATGGGTAACTCCCGCGACTAACGCTAACGTCTCAGTGTATCTATGTCCGTTCATGTGCCGTGCCAGCGCTTCGTCTCCCCAACACGCACCGTCGACGGCGAGCAAAGAGTGACAGAGCGAGAGAGCGCGCGCGATATGTCTGAGGACCGGCTGGCAGACGACCAGGCCGAGGGCATCGCCTCTGCAGTCGGACTGCCGTCGGACGCGCTGACAGAACTGGTATGATGGTCTCCACCCATAACCCGCCTCCTCTGTTATGCGTCCTTGACAAAGTCATTGCGTCCTGCTAATATTGTCGCAGACGACGGATATATTGGACGAACTACTGAGCAACATCGTCTATGGCACCGCGCTATCATGTCACCGGTCCGAGAAGCTGCTCCGCATGCAGTCGGCTGCCACCCAGGCCGAATCAATCGCCCTCGCCAACCTCGAGCCGCAGTCGCAGAAGCAAAACACCAACGGCGCCACAACAATTCCCATCGCAGAGACCCCAGCAGCGAAATATGAGAATGGGCGCGTATTTCTCAAGGGGAATCCGCTCAAGACGACGCCTGAGATAATATGTCCGCATTGCAAGCTGCCGCGCCTCATGTACCCCATCATGGGCAAGGGCATGCAGAACCCTGATTTGACCAAGGAGTACTGTATGCTCTATCCCTGGGTACAGAGATCGGGTCACGATGTCTACGGCAACCCGTTTCCTACCGACATGGCCAAGAGCAAGAAGGAGCGCGAGCTTATTAAGCAACAGCAAAAGAATGCTGAGAAAGAGAGCGTCGGCACACCCGGATCGCAAGACACAGATATGGCCGGTGGCGACACCAAGGAAATCAAGCTCAACACGGGCGGCAAGCCAGCTTCGTATATTCCATGGCACACCTGTCCAAACTGCAAGCGCAGTTTGCTCATCACGCGATTCGCACAACATTTGGAAAAGTGCTTGGGTATAAGTGGGCGACAGAGTTCACGAAATGCAATGGCAAAGCTTGTAGGACAAAATGGCTCAGGTTCGGGTGTTGGCAATACGCCACTCGGAAGCCGAATGGGCACACCCGCACCCGGTTCTCAGGACGTCCCAGCTCCAAAAACCAGCAGCAAATCTAAAGGCATCTCGCCTACCAAGAAACTCGCTGCCGGCGACGATGCAGACGCAGACGAACTCGGCCTAGACAATGATACACCCGAGCGTCGCAAGATCAAGAAAAAGAGCTCATACATCAAGAAGGCCGACCGAGATAGATCTACAAACGGTAGCGGCGGTACCCTCAAAGTCAAGCTCAAGACGGGTAGCAGACCAGATCTCGACCGAAAGCACAGCGAAAACAGCGAGAGGGGCGAGGGTAAGAGAGATCGCGACGCAGACGACGGCGGTGATTCGCCCAAGAAGAAGAAGATCAAACTCAGCCTGGGCGGCGGCGGCAAAGA